GAAGCTCTGAGCCTCTGCGTTCAGAGTCTTCTGCTTATTCCTTAAGTTATAAAGGTATTCCTACTTTCTTAATTTCAATCTTATAACATGTCTGGTTGGGTTTTCCTCTCTTTTTACATGATGCAGATCTTTGAAACATCTTTAAGGTGAGGATTACATCTTTCTTTTTTAGCTTGTCTGAGGCCAAGTTAACAAATACCATAATCGTTCCAGGGCATTCTTTATGTCGTCCCTGCAGTCTGTAATAATAAAGTGATCTCTCTACCTCAGAGGACCTGGAAACTCTTCTGCCTTTGTCTTCTAACTAGTCCTTCATCACTGATTTAGCCTTCCCTTTACAAGGACCACTCTTCAGTGCAGCTGAGTGAAGTATGACCTTGTCAGACCAGCCCCATGCATTTACTATATAAAATAGCTAGCATGCCAAGAACTCCAGATCCATTTCAAACAAAGTACAGCAGCTTCTGCAGTACATATTTATTTGCTTAAATTAATACAATACATCATACATGCTTTTACTATTGAGATAGAAAGCCAGAAAGTAAACATTCACAGATAGTTGGTCCATTTTTTGAGTTGGGGCTTTAAATAGGAACCCAGTGTTCTATGTGAAATAAATATACACCACATCATTTGCAAAATCTGTTAGGAGTACAAAATGTTAGCTCTGTTACATCTTGTTCAGCTAAGCAGACATAACTTGTTTTCAAAACTGTTAATAATTATTAAAAACTCCTTGGAATAGTAAGTATAATACTTATATTATTTAACTGCACACTCATAACAGCAGAGTCCAGCAGCAGCATATGAAGAGAGAAATCAGAGAATAGCCAGTAGACCAACACAGAGTTGTAAAAAGGTAGGTGCAGTAGCATTACTTGGTCTTTCCACTGACTTGTTTTATAGGACACAGCACAGGATAAACTCCTATTATAATATTATCATACAGTGTTTTACCCTTTGATCTACTGAACACAGAGCACTTGTCTTTGCCTTCATAGACTGGAGGCTGCCCAGCAGCCAGGAGAACTCAGGTTCACAAGGATATGGCTGAGTCCTCGTGCCCGGAGTCAAAACCGCTTGTTCCAGTGGTACATACAACTTCACTTTCTCAGTAAATATGTTGTATTTCTTTACCCTCAAATTTTACTAACCCAACTTTTGACTTTTCATCCACCCACTCTGTTCTGTACAGTCTTGCAGAATTCTCCCTGCTGCCCTTAATAGCAGAAAAGCCTCTAATTTAACAAACCTCATGCCTTCACTTGCCCAGGCTCATAATGTTGTGGCCAATTTACCTTTCCTCAGCATGGCTTCTTGAAGCATCTCGGTTTGTATGAATTTGGAAAGCATGTCAGTTGTATGAGTTTGTGGCCACTCATTGCTCTGACGCTCTCCAAGAGGATGAAGTTTGGCTTCATATAATAATGCAGGGAAATGGTATGGATGTAATTTAATATAGAGGTGGTGGAGACTGGGCTTTAATTTCATGTGTTACTACAAGCTGAAAACCCAAATAGCAAAGAAGAGTCAGAGAAATACTTTTTTTCCCGCACATAGCAAGAAGAAGGTAGATAGACTCAGATTAGGAAGGAGTTAAAAAAGAAAATGTGCCCACCAAGGTCCAGGACACAGGCAATGTCTCTACAGGACTTCTGAACCTCTATTCAAAGCAAAACAAGGAAGCTAATCCCTCGAAAATTAGAAATGGGAAATAACTTCATTATGAGACCAAATTTCTATAAAGCATTTTCAAAGCTATTAAAAAGCAAAGGCAGTTACTGTCTGTTCCCAAAACGGTGCCAATGTAAATAGCATGAAAATAACTTATGTTTGAAAAGCAAGGTGCTTCACAATGAAGGTTGTTATTTCACTTTTTATTTGTCCCTTGGGGCCTCTTTGTAACAAGTATCTCAGACCCAGCTGCATTATGTTCTGCAGTAGGGAGGACTATCATCTCCTAATCTCTCTGCTTGGGTCACTTGGCACTGTCTCCTTATCTCAGTCATAGTTCTGTTTGCAATTCCTCTGACTGGTGACTTACAGTTTTAGATGAGTTCTTTACTATTCTAACATGAATTAGCCTTGCGTGTTTGTGAATTAACTTGGTGTCACTATGTGACTGGGCACTGTCTCAAGGCCTCATTGTAATGGAATATTCTCTGCTTTCTAGGAAGAATGCAAGAAAAGGGATTCACATTATGAATTATTCACAAATAGCATTGCCATTCTGGGGACTTCTACTCCCTTCCACCTGGCTGTATGTGGTTGGCAGTTGCCTTTGCTCCAATGAGAAGGGGGACTGTAGAAGTGGATAAATTGCAGTGACAGTGTGGTTGAAAGTGTTTGGGTTAACGATTCAGACAATCCAGAACTGTTTGCAGTGATTTCTTTTCCCAAGGACATGTCTGTCACTTTCCCTTATAAGGCCTGTAAGGGAACTCTGGACTGCATTCTTCCAGCAGACATCTTTTTTGTGGTTATGATGTTATCTACTGGGAGATGAGCTCTGCTGAAAATGTCTCCTTTGCTCCATTTGCCTGGAGTGCTGTTGATATGTAATCATTTGTCTCTTTCTTGATAAGTATTGTCTAGCTGTCCCATAACACTCTCCAATGCACAGACAACAGGGCTTTGCAATGGAAGGGCTGCATGCCTTTCTGCTTTACCCACCACCGAAGTGAAGGGACTTGCTAAGTTCAACTCATCTGCATGATCACCATTTTAGGAATTGCAACCAGGTTCCTGATTTGTTGCTCGTTCCTCTTATCATAGGAACTAATATGGCTGCGAAGGTGGAGTGGACAGATCATGAATCATGCACAGCTGGAAAATATACCACCTTGAGGGAGACATTTCTAAGAGTCAGTAGCTCGCAGCTCTTGGCTGTATATGTTCTCAAATAGGAACTTTTGCCTGGCAGAGACAAGATATTGCCAAGACGGTAACTGAAGGACTTGTTCCCATTTCTAAGAGACTATATCCTAGCCCATGCTGAATTTCTACCTGATCATTTCCCCTCTCATCTAAGAAAGAATGCAGTTACACACATTACTCCAAAAATTTTCTGATTCTTCTTCTTGACCACAATGTCTTCCTTGAAAGAAAGATGGCTCCTTTTTCAACAGGATTTATCTTGCAGTAGAAGCAAGGAAGTTGAGTATATGATAAAACAGTTCACCACTGAAAAAACATGGCTATGTACCTCTGAAATATACCTCATTTTGAAAGACATCATTAATTCTAGGCCTAAAATGACCTACATTCCACTTCAATTTGGTATACTCTTTTTATTTTAAAAAAATTATGTACATCAGCTATAGAGTTAATTACATTTAGAAGAGTCACCCGTATGTTACAGCTTCTTTTATCAACAGCTATTTCTGATCTTCATTAAGAATCTTTATTATGCTGTGTTTGAGCCCTGAAAAATGAAACCACCTTCTGCAACCTTGGACTACACAAATTTTATATGATGAATAAGGGCTGCTGCCCTGTGAATGCTGATTAACTGGTAGGTGTGAGAATCATTAGTTCTGTAAGGTGAGTGGTTTCTTATTATGGCAGAGAGCTGAAGCTGCATGACTCTAGCCTTAGCAAGCCACAAGTATATGACTATATTTAATTATAACTTGCTATATATTGAGCATGATAGCAAGGTATTTCAAATCAAGAACTTGGCAGGTAAGTGAAGAAGGTAGTAATATTTGGAAAAGATGTACCATATATATGGATTTTAACCTTTTGAGCTGGGATGTCAGAATGACATAGGACTAATTAAATGACTTATTAAATCTTTATTTCCTTATAAGCAATAGGATGGTGTGGGGCTGTTTGTCATCTATCTATCTTGAAGATGCAGGAATCAAGCACTGGTCAAAATATTCATGCAATTAATGGAATGTGCTTAATGGAATGTGCTTTTAGCATCTTTGTTATGAACATACAATTGTATGGGAATCAGAGGATGAAACGTTGGGAATGACTCACTAAAAACAGTGTGAGTGGAATTGTTCTGAAAGGCCTGGAGCTTACTGTTCAAGCCAAGTTGATAAGGGAAAATTTCTGATTCCGATAAGAGGAAATCCAAAACCAGTTTTCCCCTGTGAGCTACTGCTCACTCTGTAAGGGCTCTTTTTTGGTATACCTTCTCAAATAAAATCTGATGAGAGCTGTGCATTTCAAAATCATCCTTGCTAGATAAACTGAAGAGATAAACAGCAAAATTGCATCATTTTCTCAATTAAATTACTCATATTGCTTCATGTGTAATTACAGCAAGACTTGAAAATACTACATGATGATGCTGCTTATTAGATGTATTGGTCTGAGCAGACAGTAGAACAAAATGTCAACATAGTCCATGCTATTTCACTTGAAGAATTGCCAAATACTCCCATACTGACTGAAACATAGCAAAGCATGAACATCCCTTATGCCAGAGGAAAAGCTTCTGTGACTGTAATAAATTCCAGTACTTCCAAAGCCTTACAGACCTGCCCTTCACTATCTCACAAGACATTAGTATTTCTTCTTAATTTCTTTCCAATTTCTCATTGTAAGTGGTTGAACTAACAGTCACTTCAGTAAATGAAAGTATTTGGACTGTGTTAGTTCTGAGGGTGACAACACTTTCATGCACACCATGTCTAATAGCACTCTTGCTTATATTCTGAAATACTTAGTATTTTCAGATTCTTTTATGAGATGTATAGTTAGAAGTGTTCATATATATTTATTCAGATAATAAATCAAACACTAAAGTATGTTGCTTTTTGATAACTAGAAAATTGCATATAAGACTCTACCACCCCAGATAAAGGAAAATAAACTCCTGTACCCACCCCATTGCCTGCTTATACATCAAATGAATAAGTATAAAATTGTTATTGTTCAACATCTATTGCGTTTCTTGGTGACCGTCAACAGCTTTATTCTTTCAATGTACATGTTTTACCTTAAATTATTTTTATTAATTTGGCTTGTTTATTTCTAAAGGCTACTACAAAATTCCAGCCTTTAGTAAATTACAGTTCATGTTAAAAGCTATCTGGTTCCCATTTTTCAGCTGTTTTAAAATGTCCATTTTAAATGCCTATAAGCATTGTTTGTTTTTCCATTTTTCTTTCCAGCAATTCTTTCAAACTCTTGTTCCTGTGCTTGAAATACAGGTAATCAGAGAGAGAGTGGCCAAGTCTGGCTTTTTCAAAAGATCTAAAGCCGAGGTGTTCTTTGTTGTTTGCAAGGTCTCTCTCTCCTTGGCTCCCCTGTTTGTCTGAATTTCCTATTCTCTTCTCCAGTCCTGCCTCACTTAGCACTTCTTCCTTCTCATTGCAGTAGGACTCTCTGAAGTCCTTCATCATGCACTCAGGTTTGCCAGACAGATCTTGAGCCACGTACAGCTTGTTGTCATCATAGCGGTACATGGCAGGGCTGTACCGCTCTGCCTCATAGCAGTTGTCTTCCTCTTCTTCCTGGCATGAGCTTCCCTTGGCACTCTCACCATCCGAATGAAATGAGATTCCCTTCCCTTGGCTTTTCTGGGAAAGATCAAAGGGCTCTTCCTGTTCCAGGCTTCTCAAGACATTTGTTTGGGACAGAGCAATTCTTCCTCTTCCAAAACCTTGTAGTGGTTTGAGGGGAGGAGAAAAGGAACAATTTATATATAGGAAATTTTACTACATGATACATGGTTTAAAAACAAAATATGAGGTGGCCTTCTATTTCATACTTTACCTTTGTCTTCCACCCAGCTATCTCCAAGTACTTTACTGTTTATATCACATGGCATCTCCTTTGAGATGCTGTTAAAAGAAGTGCTATTGTATACACTTCACAGCCAGGTCAGGACACACAAAACATTGTGATGTTTTGATGAGGGAGCTAGGAATAAAAGTGAAGTGGCCTGGTGTCTTGTAAACTATTTTTGCTAGTGAATCTACCCACTTCCTCCTTCCTTTTTTTTTTTTTTTTATGAAAACTTTGATCTAAACTGTCACAGGCCATAATCAAAGTCCCAGGTTTTGTACTTTTTTTTCCAGAGGAGTGGAAGAGATTAAAAACGTGTTAATGTGTTTGTTCTATGGACACTCTGGTTCAAAGTTACTACTTTAAAAATGAAAAGACAATCAAGTCTCAGCGGTCTACAACCTCCACTATCCTTAATTTTTCCACTTTCACCCACTGAGAAGTCACTCATGCCACTGAAAAGTTCTATGCACTAGATAGTGCTTCAGCTTGATGAAATCATTATAAACAAATTATGGTTTTGAGTGATGCAGTATAAGTCTGAGTTTAGTCCTGGATCTGGTTTGTCTTAACATATGTCAGAGTGTCTCCTCTGTTGCTGGAAATCCAGATGTTACCCAGGAGGCATCTGTGGACTCAAATACGCTCTAAGCATTTGGATGCACAGAAGAAGATTCAGACACTGCAGGCATAGTCCATCTTAAATAAAAGAATAGTGACAGTACTGCAGTGAGGATTTCACCCAATAGCAAATATCTACAAAAGCCACTATTTTGCTTGCTTTGTTTTGGTTTTTTCCCCTCAGTAACTGAATCCAGTTTCTACAGGATCTAGGCTGCCTCACTAGATAGAGCTGCTACTTTGCAACAGGTTACATTTGTTAAAATGGTTCATGACCAGGTGGCAGCCCTTATGAATTGTCGTGTGTTTGATAAGCCTCAAGGGCTGAAGAATCTCTGTACACTGAAAAGCTCTTAGGCTGTCTTCAATTACAGGTAATTGTGTAATTAGCATGGAGATTTACAGGAAAAAAGAGCCATTTATTTCATTAGCTTTTAGGATATTTGTAAATTTTATACTAAATAGCATTAGCGCATGTGTCTTACATATGTGCTAGGCTGTCCTAAAGCTTGAATTTGAGGAACACTAAGAAATCTTACCCATGAAATAATTATTTATCCAGAAAGTCTTAACAAACAAAATATCTTGGATACTCAAACTCTCAAAACAATCCTCCCTAATTTCCCCACTTCTTTAGACAGCATTGGGATGTGTGCACACATGAGTCTGCCTTTAGGAAGTGTATGTGCTAGGTGGGTGATAGGAAATGCTTTGCAGGATACCCTGGGTAGTAAAAAATCCATATACTTTGAGATGGAGGAGGAATGTCTCCTCCTTTTCACATGCTTCTTTGTAAACTGGATCCTGAGCCTATGGCCTTCACCTAACATGTCAATGTGGTACAGAATAACCAAGGCTCCTGGACATGGAGCCATTCAGGTTTCCATTCCCATTCCAGATATGAATCCAATAAGCAGTGAGCAAGACCCATGAAATCCTCTAGATTTTTTGCTTCTGTCAGCTTTGAATGAATTTATGATTCATGATGTACCTCAAACATGAGAGAAAAACTATGGACTCCTAACCAAATGTGTCTGGGGAAAAATGCCTGCTTGCCCATGGCTGCTAAGCTGTGGTCTGTCAGCCTCTGCAAATCAAGCCCCTTGAAACTGTAACATTTATTCAAAAATAATGGAACTACTCCTTCAGTCGGGGAGATCATGTCATGCAATCATTCCCCTGGCCAGCTACACATGCAACAGCCTCACTACAGCTCAGCCTCCACCAGCTCACTCCCATCTGTGTCTTGTGGTACCCAATTGCTGGGAGAAGCTCTGTGGTGCTGTGGATATTGCATCTTCTTACAGTGATGGATGGGGAGCCCTGGGCTTAAGTACAAGAATGTTTCGTATGGCTTGATAAATCCTCTGCTCTCACACTACTGTCCATATTCTCCCTAACACTTGATGACAGCAACTTCGTGTGCTAAAATTATTTCCTTCATGCTCATAAATACTGTCTCATTTTGTCTCTATCTACTCCTCCATCTCAGTCTGTACCTCTGTGTCATCAGATACTAATCTGACAGGTCTCTGAGACAAGGGTGACTACCTTGGGGATCTCTAATCTGTAGTGCTGGAGTAATACAGATAGTTACAACCAACCTCCCAGGCTTATGGGATTCAATCTCTTCCAGTAGTATTGGATCTATGGTACAAGATCATGGATCTGTGTTATAAAGCACATTTGGGTTTACTGATATGCATCTTCAAATCTCTCAGAGAATAACCTTGCTGAAAAATATTACCTTGAGAATGAAATCCTCTTTCCATGACCCCATGTTTGACTTTCATGTGCCTGGTTAGGTTCCCCTTCAAGGTGAATTTGCTGGGACAGTAGAGGCACTTGAAAGGCTTACTGTCCGAGTGCAAGTGCATGTGTCCCATTAAATTGTGCATTCTGTTAAATTCCTTTCCACACAGCTGTAAAAACAGTAAAAATGAAAATTATTAGTTCAAAGGGGTAATTCCAAGGAGAACATCTTAAAAGGAGATAGAGCCTACTCTTCTCAACTTGAGCCCTGGTCGCTTCTGGCTGCAATTTGTTTTTCAAATATACAGGCAAAAATCCTACAGACAAGAATACGTGGTTGAGTCTGATCTCTCTAGAGCCTTCTGCACTTCTGCCATTTTTTAAATTTGGTGACTAGGACACAGTCAAGGATTCCCCAAAAGCAGGGAATGTTGTTTTAAGGAGAGGAGAGGCTTAAGCACGTAACCTGGAAGGCTCTTAACTTGAATGAAATTCAAAGTATAACTTTCTGCCCTAGTGAACCATTTCATCTGTAGTTTATAAATCTAGCCTTTAATCAAGAACAACACCAGGCAGAGATGGAGATACAAAATAAAACCATTGAAGGGTTTCTGTGAAACCGTCAAGCAGAATATCACTTCTCCTTAAGTTGAAATGAAATGGCTGCACATTTTGCTTAAAGCTAGAAAAAGCAATTCCTTTATTTCTTTGTTTCTTCCTCCCCCATTTTTTCTCTGATCCTCTTATCTTCTGTTTACCAACTTCTGTGTTTCAGTGTCTCTGGTGAGTAAGCTGGAATTTAAACAGTCATGGGACTGTAAGAATGACTCAGCTTTCCCTGAAGCCTGTTCCTGCCAGCTGAAGCCATTGATCATGCAAGTTTCCCTTTGATGAAACAATAAGGGTTTTTTTTCGTTGTTGTTTGTCTAGATAGGTCCTTCTGTAGTCTGGTCCTTATAAATCAAATGTATTCTCAACACATGAGAGTTTGACATCACTATTACAAGCTTCTCGTCTTACTTGTCTTCTGATCTTTCATTATCACATTTATAATTTTATTCACATTCAAGTGGCTGTTTCCATCCTCTGCAAACTTCTGTGTTTGCTTTCTACCTCAGCTATTTTTTAATGGTTTTAGACAAATATTTATTTTATGATCTTTATTACTATATGAGCTAGAATCACCATTACTGAGTAACTGAAAATTCCATCAGGCAGTGTACTGATCTGGGAGAAAATTACTAAAAAGCAATTACTGAGATTTCACCAAATTTTTGGTCTAATCTGACTTCTGATTTAATTTATTTTTTTTTACAGAAAGTCTGCTACAGTACTTTTTGATTCAAATTCACCAAGCCATGACCTGGAATATCTGGATGAAATGTAGATAATGGAATGAACCTTGGTGAAATAGTACTGTATCATTTGCATTTTAAACCATCTCTTGAGGGAAAATGGAAGCAGTTCATTAACATAAAAATTTGCAGGGATATTGTTTTTAAACAAAAACTAGAGCTGAGTCAATGCTGCAAAAAGAAAGAGTCTGGAAATATTCACTCACTTTTAAAAAATTACTTGCTTCAGCTGCATAAGTTCTATTCTCTGATTTGCTCTCTGTGGTTTTGCTAAAAAGAACATTCTAGCAAATACATTTATCAGCAAAGCATTCACCAAGACAGTGTGTGTGTGAGGGGGAGCAACTGAAAATGAGCTATTAATTTGTAAGAGTAAGATATCTGATTCCAAGGGTCATCCATCCACTTAGGAAAGAGGACTGTCTTTTCTTTGCATTCAAAGAAAGCTAATATGCTGGATGACTTATATTCAGGGAAATGAATGCACCAGAAAACCACTCTGAAAGTGTTGAGAAGCAAGGAGGAGAAGAAGCACTGATGAGCACAGAAAATTCGCAAGGAAGAACAGCAGCTGATTTTATCTTGACAGCTGCTGGAACAACCTATGACATGTCAATATTTCTCTGGCTACAAGAATGCCAATAATAATTCCTCTCTAATTCCTCTTAGCAGAAGGCTTCTAGTTATCTGCTTGTATTGTGACTGATCTGTGTTCTCACCAGCTTTTGCTTTCTGATAACTAGGTCTTTAATTCCCTATCTAACCTGGTAATCAAGGAAAATCAGGTTGAACAGGTGAATGGCTAGAGTACTTCATACAAATCTATATCTTTCTAGGGTCTTGAGTATTAAAATGGGTCTAGTAGGAACATTTATTTTGTTTCTGTCAAGGCAATATTTATTTCTCTTTCTTCATAATGAAAAGACAGGGGACTTCATAAAGAATAGTTCCTTACAGCATAAAAGTTTTGTGCCTCTGAATAAAGGGGGTAGGTTTTCCATTTCCCAAAGTCATGCACAGTCTTAAAGATGTGTAATGTGTTCCTCTCCTGAAATCTCCTCTGGGGATGTGAGGAAATGGTACTAGAGTGGAGAGGTGCGGCAGGAAAATGAAAGAAATTCAGATATGAAAATTGTTTTTTGGAGCAATGGCATTGTTTGGCATGGTCTCTGGGTAACCTATCCTTTTCAAAAGGCACAAGTCAACTTTCAGATTAATGTCCATGATCCAGAGGGTGAAGGGAGGAGGTGTGGGGCTCAAGTGCTGGAAGACAGCAACTCAGAGCTAGCTGGAGTTCTCAGCTACTGCTTAAAGAACAGCTTGAGTCTACAGACCAAACTAGGAAGGTGTACAAGATTTTCTTTCTCTGTGACAGGGCAAGTGTGTAAGCACTGATGAACAGAGTGTGAAAGATGACCTGGAGCCAGTTACTTGGGATGGAGATCCATCAGAACTCACCACAGAGGACCTTAGCATATGGGGAGATGTAAAGCTTATGCAAGAGATCTTGGGATAGCAGAAACAACATGGTTTATTTGTGGACCTTCTGTTGGGTTCAAGCCCTGAAGAGAAAACCTCAGCTGCCAGTCTGCTGAACACACTTTGTTGCACTGGCTGGTGAAATGGACTTCATTGCAGATTGCTAGAAAAGTTGAATTAGTTCAACACTAGATTTTGTCTTCCTAAGCCACCACATGAAGTATCACCTTTCTAGATTGTCAAGTCTGTTTTGTTTCTTCCCAAAGTACTTACCTCTCACATTTTCTTTGGTTTTGACTCCTGATCTAAACCCATGATTTTAGATGGGAAAAAAGTGGAGTTCAGAATGTCTGCTGCAAAGTGTATTTGGCTGGGCTGGAGAAAACTTCATTGCATTCTTTATTGGAGGTCTGAAACATTGCTGACTTCAGCAATAAAAGCAACTGTAAGTTTCATAGAAGCTTCCTCTACAAATCAGAATTAGCACTATTGCACTATTTGGCGCAACTACTTCAGAACTCTTCAGTGGTGTTTTTTTTTTAAACAGAAATAAACAAGGCAGCACGTGCTCAGGCCTTTAAACACTACAGAGAAGTTCACTCCTCAGAGAAAAATCAAACACAGATCCAGACTGCAGCTGGATGAGGAAGCAGAAGGGACAACTATTTGCTACTCAGTCACTTCAGATAGTCTATGCTTAGCTGTGATTAGACATATAGGAAAGCCTCATGTTTTCTTTTGCTGTGAGAAAAAGGTAAAGAAAACCATCACATGTGGTGAAGTAGAAAGGCTACTGCTGTGCTCTCTTTCCCTTGCATTCTTCTTCTTCTTTTTTTTTTTTCTTCATAAGAAGGGTGTTCCTTTCCTCAAAGAGAGAGGGAGAGGGAGAAAGACTGTAAACTGTCCAAAAGGACCGTGAGAAAACAGGAAGCTTTGAAAAGTACAAGAGAAAGCAAGATGAAATCTATTTGCAGGCGGTTCCCCGGGGACATGTGAGCCATTGTTAAGCAGGCTGTTCATACAGCTATATCCTTCCTTCTGCTGAGGAGGAGCTTGGTGCCAAAAGGCTGCTATCTGGTCATTGCCTTAACCCTCTGAATACCAGCCAGAAATACTTGCTCAAGTCTTTCAAGGGCTCTGCCAGAGAGGCAAGGGATGTTCCTAACACCAAAGAGCAATTCCCGATTCTCCCTTTGCATATTGTTACAATCTCTGCTCCTTTTAGGGGCACTGATGTTGATTCATGCCCCTTCAGACATAGGAGAAACTGGTTCACTATGCTTACTTGTTTCTCTCCTCCTAGGAACATTGGGTGGGGACAGAGAAGTAAAAAAAATAAGAAAAACAGGTGTTCCTGTAGAGCTTTTGTTACTGGCTGGAAAACGTACTGGTGCTACTCCAGTTCCCAGTTCGAACTATTGCCACCTCCAAGTTTTAATAGTCTGTCATCATCAAACCCTAACCTGAACACAAACTTCCAGCTAATCTGCACATACCTAAAAAATATTGTGGGTCCAGATACTGCATCCAGAACAGCTGATTAAACAATTGAGTTTCTTTTCTGAAATTTGAGCAGTCAGGGGAGGACTTTAGCCAAATGGGAACAAAAAGACCTGTTTGCAGATGTTCTCAAAGAATTAAAGTCTCCAGCAGACTTGACATGGAGCTACCCAAGCATTTCAGTCACAAAAGTTATTTTATCAATATAGAATAACATAAATCCTAGTATACAAAATAACATTTTAATAGGACATAAATTAAAATGAAACAAAATGCTACAGTTGAAAGACTTTGCTGTTATTTTTTTCAAAGTGAAATGCTTCAAAGTTATCAAAGCAAAATGAGGATGTAAAAAAGATTAATTTTGACATTTTCAAATTAAAATTATCACTGAATGACGTATTTTCCTATGACATTTTGAAGTTCTACATTTTTCAAGAGAAAATAATTCCATTTAAAATTTTTCATCTAGTTCTGCTTCTCAATGAAATGTTCCTTTTAAGAAAATATTTAATTCCATAAAGATGTTGGATGAAAGAGTTCTAGAAATTGCTTCCAGATCAATCTGCAGTTACTTAGGCATAAACTGGGTAATATGCTCCACTCTGTATTTATAGCCCTCTTAGAGCAGATCAAAGTGGGAATAAAACCTACAGCCTTTGACTTCACAAGGTATGACTACAGTAATGAACCAGATAGGCAGCAAAAGAAACAGAAGTAGTGTCCAATACTGAGTAAGAACATAAACATGAATAATTCATAAGGAAGATATGAGATGAGCATGGTCAAGAAAGCCAAAGCCTCAACGGTTTACAGGGAGGAAGGAGAAGAGAGGGTGGAAAAGGAATGTCATCCTCCAATGTGCTGGATGGAGGCAGCAAACTGGAATTCGCACAGGATCCTAAAAAGGCCAGATGGTGTCAGAGGCTGTTTTGTTAGGATACTGATGTCCTGCCCTGAATTTCAATCTGGTAATTGTACTTGGCCTATTCAAATCCCTTCTGCAGTTGTATTTTGCTGTGACTTTCTTTGAGTCTTTCCCTGAACTGTCACATAGCATCACTGTGTGAAGTCATGGCTGCTGCTTTTCCATGGTCCTCTGCGGGGTGCATGACTTGATCTATGGTTTTAGTCAGTGTTTTAAGCTATTAAACACTTAGACTTCTGTTTGGATGGCTGTACTAAGCAATTGTCAGGTATGTTTATTGTCCTCAAGCTGCCATGGCACTTAAATGCTCATGAAGAAGAAAAAAATATCTGAGGATGAAAGTTACTGATATTGAAGGGGAAGGGAGTAAACCACAGATATTTACCTCCATTATTTTGTGCTATGTAAGCAGAACCTGGACAAAGAAAGAAAACCAGGCTGGTTTATGCTAATTTAAATGCAACTGCAGTACGTGTTAACAAATCTTCTTTTCCTAATTCTACCATATCACAAGATGATGATATCACAGAAATATCCAGCAGGTTAATGCCTCTGTCACCAAATGCACTTACCTTGCATTTAAAGGGTTTGACATCAGAGTGAACAATCATGTGGGCTTTGAGAGTCTGCTTTTGCACAAAGCTCTTGAAACACAAATGGCATTGATAGGCTCTGATGTTGGTGTGGATCAGGACATGTCGCTTCATGTTGGCCAGCAGAGTAAATTCCCGGCCACAAATTCCACATTTGTGCTCTTTCACACCCTGTAAGAAAAGAAAAAAAATCAGAAAATTCTGTAGATGGAAAATTTTCTAGATCATTTGATCTTCAGTACAGCAATATATGAATTATTAATTCTTCATTAGCAAAGCAGGTAATACATTATTTCACTTTTAGCATCATTTGCTCAAGTAATAGATACATATGTATTTTTTTCCTGACAAATTCTTACAAGAATCTGAGAAGCAGGGAAGGAAAACGAAATAAAAGCTTAATGAAATAATGAGTTTTGTTTCCAGCAGTAAGTTTACAAATGAATAAGACATAGTCAGCAGCAGAGCTTCTCTGTCCTACGCTGCTGTTTAAGTAAAGTATTGGTCAAATGTGTACACTTTTCAAACCAAGAATAAAAGCTAACCAGGTAAGACAGTAAAGTAGTGCTTGCTTTTGATAAATGAATTTAATTGGTTTCTAAAAAAGGCATAGCCCTGTTTTGGAGAAAGCTATATAAAATAATCTGAAGTAACTGAGATCTAGTCAAGCAATCTCACCAAATAAGGATATACATGTTACACTCAATGTAGAGAAAAAACTGTTCACTCTTAGTGGGACTTGCACTAACCCTAATGGATTGATCTCATTTTATCTGGTGTTTACAGAGCATTTCTAGCACCTTTTATGCCATCCAGTGAATTTACTAATGCATAATTCAATATTCTTGCTCACACCCATGTGGTCTATCTGCTAGCTCCTCAAAAAGTCATTTAGATGCTGTGAACATCGATGAATCTACTGCTAAACACTTTAAGAGTTTAACTTGCTGAAGGTAATGAGGATTTACTAGTGAAGTGCCGAGAGCAATTACTCCTCCTGCAGGCCCCCATTACAAAGAAGACTTGAAACAATCTCTACTTTCATGCCAGCCAGTGGTTTTCACAGTTAATTGCAAAGCTAGAACTGTGAACACCAACAGCGGCTTTAAGTGTCTGCCTATCTGATGTGAGACTGCATTTGGACAGCTAACTACTGTTAATTATGTTCACAGCTGAATCCACCTGCAGCTGTGGACAAAGAAGCAGAAGCTCTTTAAAGGCTCAGGGGCATTGCGTTTCCGGTGACAAAAAACTTCCAAGCCTTAAGTTAGTAGAATTTTGCATGGTAAATCCAAAGACCAGGGAATCTCCAAAAAGAGCAGAAATTACAATCATGTAGTAGGGAAGAAAAAGCAAATGTGGAAGTAGAGGTTGTTGGTTTTTAAAAGACAATGTGTCTGTAAGACTGAAAGGCTGCAGCTGTCTGTATTTTTAATGTTTTTCATAGAAAAGCCAAAATCCAAGTGTTAGAGCAAAAATATGCAAAGCTGGAAGCAAATTTTTATAAAATGTGTGGGGTTTTGACATGTCTTAACAACATTTTTGTAAAGGTGGATAAGCCAATTTCAGACATTCTTGAAAGGAACAGTTACATTTTTCCTATTTTTGAAAGCGATCTTTCTGGATGTGTTCCAAAGCCCGCACCTAGCCTAAACTGACCCTGCTGTCATTGCTGTCAGCAGTGGCAAGACTGCCACTTTGTAAGAATTGGCTCGGATTATGGTCCTGCTTGTCCACTTTTATTAGCTGGCATTCTGGATAACTTAAATGCCAAGGGGAATTTTTCTTACGTTGTTTTTTTCCCTAAATGTCTAATGATTCTTCAAAATCTGATGAGTAATAATACACTTTCTTTCGCTGCATACATAGTCTACTGCAAATCCACCTACTTCCTAATTAAGGGAGCAAAGCAATAAAACTGGTTTTCAGTAGCAAATTTCTATTAAAATTGCAGGGAGATTATACAGCTCTACAAATTTGTTATGTTACAGAAGGTCATTCTGAAGATAAAACACAGAAATGGAGAGATGTGAATACAGTTTTGGGAAGTCATACCGGTGGCTTAATTGAACTCCTGTTTATAGTGAAGCGGGTTTTGTGTGTGCTTTCCTAAGACTAACAGACACGTCTAGCTTCTACTATTGCCAGTGCTGCTGGGGCTTTTGCTCTGCATAAAACTCTCCAGCTGGCAAAGGACCAGCGTGACACACTACAGACCGATTACCTTCTCTCTGAGGAGGTGCATACGTGTACCTTTAGTAGCCTGTAATTCCTGTGCTACCTTCCAATGCAAGGTGAAAGTGCAACCTGTGCTGGCTTACCTTGTGAGTTAGGGAGTGTTGTTTGAGATGGTGGGGCTGCACAAACTCCATGCCACATTCAGTGCAGATGTACGGGCGGATGTCTTTGTGCTTCATCATGTGGTTTTGCAGCTGACTCGGGTACTGGAAGGTCTTATCACATTCAGTGCAATTGTACTGTATAGGGCCACGGTGGGTTGTTAAGTGTCTCTTCAGCTGGGCCAAGGTTGGGAAGTCCAGACCACACTCCACACAAATGTTCTCTCGGCCACTCTCATGCTTTGACTCGTGTGCTTTCAGCTCGCTGGGGTAGGCAAAACCTCTGCCACAGATCCTGCAGTTGTAAGGCTTGATGTCACTGTGTTGCATCATGTGTCTCTTAAGGTGACTAGTTTGAGTGAAAGCCTTGTGGCACACCTGGCACTTATGTGGCCGAGTGCCCTGGTGTGTCAACATATGTGTGTGCAAGTGGCTCAGCTGCTTGAAAAGCTTGCCACATCGGGTGCAAGCATGTGGCTTAATGCCGCTGTGCCCCAAGATATGGGTGACCAAATTGTACTTGGATGTATAGGACTTCTCACACATGGGACATTGCCAGCGTTTCTGTTCACCCCCCACGTCAACATAGTAACTGTCATCTATCTGAAGGTTGACATCTACTCTTTCCACTTTCTGTTTATTTTCACCACTTTCTCTTACTTCAGCCCTCCTGAAGGGTGGCTCTGGAAGTCTTTTCATTTGAAAGGCGTTCCTGAAATGAAAGTTGGGTGGCACAATAAAAGGAAACATTAAGCCAGAGTGGACTTTAGGATAATAAGGGTAAGGAGCCTGCATGAATGCTGGGCTACTGGGCCATGCCATGTTAGGCTTTGCTGGTTCTTGCTTAATGGGCTTGGCTCCAAAGTGCTCCAGAGTTCTGTAGAACTGAAAACCAAAGTTGCAGAGGTCAATCATCTGGGAACTGTACTTGGTCTGTGCTGGCTGTTGGAACACCAAGGGGAGACTGGAAGAGCCTATGTCATTGTGATCTTCAGGTCTGTCTGGTGGTGATGAGGAGCCCTCGAGGGTGATAGAAAGAGGCATTTTTGTTGGCATGCTCTTGCGTTTCCGAGACCCTCCTTCCAAGGACCCCTGGAATGTTTCCATGTCTCCCAGGGAAGGAGGGCCATAGCGGAAATGTGAGAGGTGAGGTCTGAATTCTTCACCAAATGGAGTTGTTCTGTGTGGCTTTGTAACAGGGCTCAGTGGCTGCAGGCAGCGGGAGAAGGGAGAGGCTTGGGTACTGTCCACATTAAAACTCGTTTCTTCGTTCTTCATCATATTTGATTTTTTCTGTGTTGCCCAAATTCCTTAAAACAAACAAAAATTCAAATCTCTTTATTTCTTCCTGTTCTCCTGGGTTTAACAGTTTATTGTCTATTTTATTGCTTTGGAGGTTGTTGGGTTTTTTAACTAAATGCAAATAAGGATGTCTTAGGCCCACATAAGACAAAAGCTTTTTAAAGCAGAATTAAATTGGTTAGTGAAGAACAAAGAAGCTTTGGTCTTCCTGTGGTAGAATTGATGGTTTAAATCAAGTTTGACCCATACATCTTTGCAACATAAACATGCTGTACCATGACACACTGCTTTGCAGCTGAATCAGTATAGCAATGTTTCTGCTTAATGTAATTCAGCCAGGCTATTTGTGGGCAAAATCCTGTCCTTGGCTGTGCATGCACAGGCTCTAGAAGTTGGCGGTGCATCTAAAGGATATGGCAATACAAACAATAATGTGCACATTTATTATGGTTGTGACATGAAAAGCCAAAGCCAAAAAATGTTAAACTTCTTTGTATCATTAACATGTGCTGCTGTGAGAGAAAACAATGGCCAAGTGATCTAAGGACACTGTGTACCATCAGGTTTTGTGCCGTGTTTCCTGGCTTCTCTCACTTTGTATTGTAATAAGAAGGAGGAGATTAATTTATTTTCTTTGTTTTAATCACAGAGATATTTACCTGGCAGATTTGGGGGAAGAAAGACCTTTGACGATTCTCCAAACTACATTCAGTTTTATAGACTTAATCTGGGGAGGGTTGTTTCTAAATAGGAGGGCAAAATCTCCACTATAAAACTAAATATAGAATTAATGTCAGCAAACCCCCAGGTCTCCAGAGTAATTGACACCTAAGAATGCTCTGAGCGTTTCTAGTGGTACAGTGTGACAAGGCAGATAGATTAATAATTTTCTTCTGGCAAAATTTTATGTTCCACTATCATACAGGGAGGTTCCTCTGAATTTGGGGTTCAAGTAAAATATTGATTATGAATTTTGGTTCATCTTAAATAAGGCTGCTACCTTTTGCCTTGGCTCTGTAAAATTATAGAATATTAGAATCATAGAACCATTTAGGTTGGAAAAGACCTTTAAGATCCTCAAGTCCAACCGCTAACCTAGCACTGCCAAGTTCACCACTAAACCGTGTCCCTAAGCACCACATCGACATGTCTTTTAAATCCCTCCAGGGATGGTGACACAACCACTTCCCTGAGCAGCCTGTTCCAATGCTTGACAACCCATTCCATGGAGAAATTTTTCCTAATACCCAAACTAAACCTCCCCTGGTGCAACTTCAGGCCATTTCCTCTCGTCCTATCTCCAGCCACCTGACAGAAGAGACCAACACCCACCTCACTACAACCTCCTTTCAGGTAGTTGTAGAGAGCAATAAGGTCTCCCCTCAGCCTCCTTTTTTCCAGGCTAAACAACCCCAGTTCCCTCAGTCACTCCTCATAAGACTTGTTCTCTAAACCCTTCACCAGCTTTGTTGCCCTTCTCTGGACACGCTCCAGCACCTCAGTGTATTTCTTGTAGTGAGGGGCCCAAAACTGGACACAGGACTCGAGGTGTGGCCTCACCAGCGCTGATTACAGGGGGACAATCAATTCCCTAGTCCTGTGTGCTGGCCACCCTATTTCTGATACAGGCCAGGATGCTGTTGGCCTTCTTGGCCACCTGGACACACTGCTGGCTCATATTCAGCTGGCTGTTGACCAACATCCCCAGGTCCTTTTCCACCGGGCAGCTTTCCAGCCACTCTTCCCCAAGCTTTGCACAGGGTTGTTGTGACCCAAGTGCAGGACCCGGCACTTGGCCTTGTTGAACCTCATACAACTGGCCTTGGCCCATCGATCCAGCCTGTCCAGATCCCTCTGTAGAGTCTTTCTACCCCCAAGCAGATCAACTGCTCCTGCCCAACTTCTTGTTGTCTGCAAATTTACTGAGGGTGCACTCAGTCGTCTTGTCCAGATCTCTGATAAAGATATTAAACAGAACTGGCCCTGGGGAACACCACTTGTAACCGGCTGCTAGCTGGATCCATCCAGTTTTTTACTCAGCAAAGAGTACACCCATCCAAGCCATGAGCAGCCATTTTCTCCAGGAGAATGCTGTGGGTAACTGTGTCAAAGGCTTTACTGTAGTCTAGGTAGACAACATCCACAGCCTTTCCCTCATCTTCTAAGCTGGTCACCTTGTCATAGAAGGAGATCAGGTTAGTCAAGCAGGAGTTTCTGTTTAGAAACCCATGCTGACTGGGCCTGATCACCTGTTGTCTTGTACGTGCTGTATGATGATTTGCTCCATAACCTTCCCCAGCACCAAAGTCACACTGACAGGCCTCTAGTTCCCCAAACCCTCATTCCAGCCCTTATTCTACATGGGTGTCACATTTGCTGACCTCCAGTCAACTGGGACGCCCCCGTTAGTGAGGACTGCTCATGAATGATGGAGAGTGGCTTGCTGAGCACTTCCACCAGCTCCCTCAGTACCCTTGGGTGGATTCCACCCGGCCCCATAGACTTGTGTAGGTCTAAGTGGTGTAGCAGGTCACTAACTATTTCCTCTTGGATCATGGGGACTTCATTCCACTCCCTGTCCCTGTCTTTCAGGGGTCTGATTACCCAGAGAACAACTGGTCTTACGATTAAAGACAGAGGCAAAGAAGGCATTAAGTACCTCAGCCTTTTCGTCATCTTTTGTCACTATGTTTCCCCCCACATCCAGTAAGGGATAGAGATTCTCCTTAGCTCTCTTTTTATTGCTAATGTATTTATAGAAACATTTTTAATTGTCTTTTATGGCAGTAGCCAGATTAAGTTCTACCTGGGCTTTGGCCCTTCTGATTTTCTCCCTGCATAACCTCACAACATCCTTGTAGTCCTCTTGAGGGATGCACTTATGTGAATGTGTGCATGTGTTTGTGTACATGCATCTATCCAGCCAGGCAGAGGATAGGTTGGAACACGAAATATATTTTCCCTCTGTCACCTGTGACATGTTGATGCTATTTATAACACCGTTCTTGGAAATGCTGGGTGGAGAGCATGAAAGTGGTTGAAGTACTAAAGACAGTCCTGTTTCTTTTTCAGGAACCTCTGTGCTGGATAAACCTGCTTCTAAAGATAGATAAAAGTACATCTCTGTGACCTAGTTAGGCTTGGACAAGAGAAGACATCTTAAAAACCTGATTGCAAACAGATTACCTCCTTCTAACAGAGTAGACTGTGGAATTATCTTTGAGATACTCTGTGAAGCGAAAGGATCAGTGACAAAAATTTAAAATGGAAAATCTAGACAAAGGGATCAATCAATGCGCAAAGGATGAGGAGTAATTGAAGCAAAAATTGTAGGATCTCTAAACTGATGATTCAAAACCCACCTGTGATAGTGGAAAAGGCTAAAAAAAATTGCTTACAACTGGGACAAGTATCTAATAATTATACCAGGATGTGACTTTCAGTCCCTAGCTCACTCACTGGAAATGGTGTCTATATATATACACTATACATATATGCTATATTTGTGTGTGCGTGTGTATGTATATATATGTAGTATGTGTAAGTGTGTATGTTCCATCACAGAGTACTATTAGGGAGTATGCATTCTGCTATGTTTCCTTGTCACCCTAACTCCCTGGCAAAATAAGGAAGTTAGACCTTGAAGACTCTTTGGGTACAAAGGCTTGACTTATTGAAAGGGAAAAGGGGAAGGGAATCCTCTGAATACCAGAAAAGACTCTACTTCTTTCCAAAAGGGAAAAAGTTTGGGGTTTTTTTTCAAAATTCAGTTTAAACAAAGTTAACTCACACAATTTGAACATAAAATATGCCTGTAGACCAAAATCTTCCCTTCAAAGTATGGGCCTGTCCCTCAAATATCTTTCATCTTGTGTATCTGATTCTTTCCCAGCAATATGGGTATAAAATGCTTCAGAAAACCCATTGCAACTGAGAACTCATCTATGTTATTTACTGCTTTTGTTAGATTATTGAAATGCTGCCAAAAATACACAGAAGTGACAGTGAGTTGTGCCTAATTGCTCTCTTGTCTGTTGGCTGCCAGTTACTCCCTTCTTCCACAGCCCATTTTATGCCAAATTCCAAACTTTCTGGAACCCAGAGTTATGGCAGAGGCTGTATAACTGCTTGAAATTACTAGAAAGAATTTCTTTGCACTACTAACCTTTGGCTGCTTTCTCTGAGTGTACGGGTTTATTCCACTCTCCACAGCTACACACATCATGGGACCAAGCCTACGAGGGAAAGTGTTTAAACAGTCAGTGACCAGCACAGTCAGAGAGGTGCTACATAATCCAAAAAAGAGCACCTAAAAGGGGAGGGAAAGCAGATTTACAGTCTAAATATGGATCACTTTGCTGCTTTTTTTTCCCCCTTTTTTTTCCCCCCATGATGTAAGAATTAATTGAGGAAAGATTAAATGTAGCCCCTCTTCTCATCTCCTTTCATGTTGGTAGCAAATCCTTGTTAATTTGAATGGAGGCATGATCTTCACCTAGACCAGAACTTAATTCCATAAAAATGTGAGTCCTGAGGAAACTGTAGAAGAGACTACAGATGTGACCACCATGCAAGAAATAGTTAAGGAGCAGTCCCTTCTTCTTTAAATAACTTCAGTAGAGAACTTTAAAGCTTTTAATAACACAGTTGCCCCATAATTTTGTTCTATCTGATCCTGGAGTAGCTGATGTAATTTTAATACTCAACAATAAATAAAGGGGTATGAATTGAAAAATTTCTGTTTTAAATATCTCCTAGGGACTTTTTGTGTTTCCTATATAAGCACTTTAAAACTTCTTTCTTTCTTTCTTCAGCACTTAATGTTTAAAATATAATGATATGTAGCACAGTGGTGTGTGATGCTAAACATTGAGGTTCGTTTAAACCTGGAGAAACATTAAAAATTCTAGCTTTTATCACTAGCATTTTAGCTCCTCACTTTTGAAAAATTGGTCTGGAAAGCTCACTGAGACAGAGGTTTCCATGCTGTATTGGCACTTAAACATAC